GTCGTCCGAGGGTGGGTTCGCGTTTCGAGGGATTCGCACGCGCGCGGTTGTGACTCGCTCGCCGCGTGACACGAGTGACGGCTGAGCGGAACGCGCGAACACGCGCGGACTCCTTTACCTTCGCATTGAGAAGCATTGAGTCAGTCGCTCCGACACCACGCTCCGCGAGTGCGTGCGCGGTGCGTGCATGTGGCCGAAACGACGACGACGACGTCCTTTGTCATCGGCACCTGTCGCCGCAGCCGCCGCCGCAGCCGCCACCGACCCGCCACCGGAACGGAGTCTCCCCGGAAGCTGCACCCGGAGTGGCTCTCATCATACGACATGTGAGTGCACGATTGGGATCCCTCCGGATCCTTCCTAATGTTGGCCACGTCCTACCGATCGATTCGCCGACGATCCATACACGTTGCTCCTCAAGGAACACGTCAAATCAAAATGACTTTATTTCACAACGCCTTGAAAGTCAAAATGATGATTTTTGATTACAAAATTTGACTCTTTATTAACGTTAAAAATATCAAAATAAATTCATTTTAATATTTTTTTTTTGCTTTTGTGTGTTTCTTGGATTTCGGCTTCTTCCCATTCTGCTTCCCGGTATTCTTGTCTCGACGTGTTGTCCCGGTTCGCAATAGTCTTCCTCGATCTCCATAGACGATCACTGAAGTATTAGAGTACTTTTTGTAGTATTCTGAATGTATCTCGGCTACTTTAGAAGTGTAACGTATAATTTTGGTTGTATCGTGTAGCATTTAAATTAATACTTTAAAGGGAAGAAAAAAAGGGAATAGGTTGGTTTACAAAACATTACCGAAGTGTGTTTCGAATCAATGGTATTGGAATATATTTAAGGCTGAAAGTAGGGCAAATATGGATTTCTAAATGCGGCCGGTACGAGTGTCGGCCGATAGCGGTAACGCGTATAATTTTTATGCGTTGCGTGTTGGAAACAAATCTCAGAATCAGAGAAACGAAATTGCTCTTAACTCGAACACGTGGACGTGACAATCTTTATTATTATGTACGATTTTTATGTTAAGCGCCCCGTAAATAAGTTTCAGAGAAACGAATTACACAATCGCTAAAGTCTTTAAACGTCATCGTGCCGTGCGAGCTTCGACCGACGATCACGCTGAATAGGACAGTTGTGTTACGTGTGCTGTTGCAAAAATAAATCTCAGTGTTTAACAATTTAATTGTATTTAATACTAAATGCGCGGGATATAATTACGGGGTTCTAAACGCAGTCCGTGCGACCCTCAGCTATAATAACGATGACACCGAATGCGATTGTATTAGGAACAAAAGCGTGTCGGACAATTATACTGTGCGATTTATTCGACAAACGTGAGTACAGGCAAATGTGGTCTTTAATTATTACGACTCTCAGCTAATAGCAAGACCGAATACCGAGATTATCGCGTTTATGCATTACGAGTAAATCAAAGAAGAATGAGAAAATTAAAGTAATGTCATATTGAATCATGATAAAAGATGACATAAATCGCTCAATAATTGGTTAATATGACGTCAAATTGATATTATATTTTGACTTTCTTGTTCTCAAGGAATACACCAAGTCAAGAAAAAATCAAATTGATAATTTTTTGTTAAATAAAATTTAACTGTTATTTATTGACTTTAAGCTTCAAAATAAAGTCATTTTGATTTTTTGTTGACTTTTGTATATTCCTTGAGTTCTTTCTCAAGGAAAATATACGAAAGTCGACAAAAAAAATCAAAATGATTTTATTTTA